TCTGGCTTTGAAAGGTCCAAAAGCTCTCAGAAAGCCCAAACAAACATGTTCTAAGTTTTTCTGATATGCGCGTAGGAGGGGATGTGCAAGGCCTATCTGTGTGATTTAGGAAAAAAAAAACTCAGTTAATTTAACTAGCCAAAATCGACCGTTATTTTTGAACGAACGAACCGGTTCAACTTCTCGTATGAACGGTCCTCATCATATTTCCGCTATAGCATAATTTCCTTAGAATTTCCCTGACCACTCTGTGCAGAGAGGCAGGCTACTCTGTCGACCCACGCGGTGATCGTCCTGTATGTGCCCCCACGTCATGGTAAAATGCAGCTGCCTGCTTGCCCGTAGCCTGGCCGATTTCTTTTTAGCTTTTTTCTGAAAAATATTGACATTGAGATTCTTGGACTTCTTAATTTTGTTTGTGGATCCAGGAGTCGGTACCGTAACCAACGGCGTCGAGGTAACATGTCTTGACGCCCAGCCATCCTAAGTTATGGCGCCGACCTCTAAGACCCAAAGTAACGTGGCGAGCTAACATGGCAAGAGGTGGGCGCTGAGATGCACAACGCCGACCTCAGTGTCAAGACTCTTGGCGCCGAGGTCTAGTGGAGGTAACATTCAGAGCTACCTCACCTTTGTTCCATAGAAAAATAGCAAAACAAAAATTTACTAGGAGAGACCCCGCTCGGTAACCACACACGAACCCTGAACTCACGCTTCACGCGTTTGTCCCCTAACTACTCCACTCATAAAATACTTGTGTCCATTTGAGATATTCGTCCTCCCCATTTTATGTTCATCTGATTTTGAAATGAGTATTTGGGTCCATAAATGAATTCAAATGAAAAAGTTATCAACGACAAAGTTTTATAGCTTTTCGAGATCTACAACTTTGGTTTCCCTCATTTCTCCATCTGAGGTCGTTTGAAGAATTTGAATTTCAAATATGAGAAAATTCAACTGGAAATTTTCTTAGATAGATGATTTCAGATGAAAAGTTCTCAACTACAAAGCTGGATAACTTCTCGAGATCTATAACTTTTGTTTTGGTCGTTTCTTCATCCGATATCGTTCCCTACCACTCTCACATGTGACTACAGAGCATATAGATTCATTTGGTATTAACTCCATACACTTTTATGAATTAAGTATTTCCGCATCAAAATGACTTCTAATAAAAAAGTTGTGAATTACAAAGTTGCATAAATTTTCGAAATCTACAAATTTTATTTTGTTTGTTTCTCCTTCTGAGATCCTTCCCTACCACTACACACTCACCTGTGACTATACAATATGAATTCCTTCGGTATTAACTCTACCGAAACATTAGCTCAATACCTCAAAGTTTGAAGTATAATTTTTTACTCGCCATATTAGCAATTGCTAATTGAAGACATGACTTTTTCAACATGTCTCCACTTCCATCTCAATACAGACTATACAAGCCCTTTGGTAGTGTAACAACTCTTAAGTGTACAGACAGGCATATACTATTGGACAGGAAACAAACTCTTTTGCCATAGGCATATATTTAATAAAAATGATGTATATCTTATTCTCAAGAAATGAAATGAAATAGTAGTTAACTTGAATTATTAATCTGAGCTCTTCAACCCATTTAAAAAGTTTACTGTTAGATACATTCACGAGGTTCATCATGCACCTTTCCATATAAAAAAGGAATGCAATAACATGGAAAGAAATGGTGCAAAGAAATGATAATTCCTGTGACACCTCTACACTCGTCTCCAATAGCACAATGCCTGTAAGCAAGCTTCCTTTTTGTTCTCATGATCATAGGGTGAACCGAAATAGTCAACCTCAAATCATATAAGGTCAAGTATCTCCCATCATCATATTCACTCAAAAGCATTGAGATTGGGTTTCATCGTAGTTCCATATACAAAAAAGAGAGACTCTGCCCAAATGAGCAGCTGAATGACTCAGGAAGAATAGTGGCAAACAATACATAGTAACTGCGCAAACAAGGTAGAATGAATTATGCAAGTACAATGTAGTGGAAGATTTCATCTACGGGGCAAATTAAAGTAGCTTGCAAAGGGATAATTGCATTGCCGCACATTTTATCTAGAGAAGAGAAACGTGCAAGCGTAGGATCAGGCACAGGTAGCATTGGATCAGCACCACACGTGTCCGCTGCCTCTGGTGCTTCTGTACATAAGGATAAGCATTCAGTAAGACTGTAAGAGTGCCTAAAAACATCTCAGTACAAAACAATGTGGTGGAAGGATGAAAATTAACAACAATAGCATCTTTACTAACACAAAGTTCCCAGATTAATATAACAATAAAATTGCAAAGAATAGCTCTGTAGAAAGATGGAAGCTGTACCTTGAAGCAGCCCCTCTAGCCACATCATGAACTTCCAGCTTCTCAATTCTCTTATTTTGGAAACTCCAAAAGTGCAGGAACAATTGAGCATGAGTATGGATTATTGTTGTGACACATCCTGACAGCTTCAACATGAATGTCCTATAGTTAAAATTATGTAGCTGCAAGCGCAATCAGATCAGGAGCCTGTTTTAAAATTATGTAACTCAACAGCTAGAGAATTCAGTGTGAATGTACTGAATGGTTAACATCATATATCCTGCACTCCTGTCAAGTTTAGCGCTCATTATAGCTAATTTAATTAAAGTAGATAAACAAGGAAAGTGACTTGTAAATTCCAACACTTGTTGCATAGAGCTATCTTACGTGGAGCAACTTCATAGAGCGGAGATAGCTACCTCATAGAGCAAGTCATTCTGGATATTGGTCCCAAATCAGCCTTTTTTTTGCTTCAGCACTGTGATAACTACTTCATAGAGCAAGTTCAGGGACTGGAGAATAAACTCACATCTGCCAGTAATGAAGAAACGAAGCAGGTTTAGAATCAGGAGGCCAAATGCTGTGCAACAAATCTGTTTAACAAAACCCACCAACATTTTGTTGGCCTAGTCAGGTAGCCTACTGTGCATGTCCTTGCCATTATCATGCACTTTGCCCATTTAATTCCACAAAGTAGCATCGCAAAGGGCTGCCCTTAATTATACTCCAGTTAGCAGCAGCACTCATGATTAGTGCCGTGCTAAGCCAAGCCGACACCATAAAAAGTACAATATAAAAATATATTTCATGTTTTATCTGACTATACTAATTTTGTCTCATAAATATTAGTCTTCGAATCGCTGAGGTGGAAGCGCCGGGGCGGATCCAACTTACAGGTGAGCGCGACGACCCCTGTGCTCCCGCGAGTGGCGCCTTCTCGATGAGAGACGAAGATGAAGGGGGCGAAGAGAGCGGTGTCCGAAGCGAAGAGGAGGCCGCGCGAGTCCGAACAGTAATCTCTCCCCTCTCTACGACTCCTCCAGGCTTTGCAGTTGGGTGGGAAACACCAGGGGCCTTGGATGATTGATCGACGGCGGAGGGAGTGTGCGTGCGGGTGGACGCACGGAAGTCTTTTCTTTACCAAAAAGGAGGGGCATTTACATACACCCGCCACCCCCCCCCCCCCCACCACCACTTTTGCAGTCTCCAACTCCACCGGCCACACGTTTCTCCATCTCCATCTCCTCCTGGACGGACACCACGCGCCCCGGCGACGCTTCCGCTTCGCTTCTGGCTTCCGGGTACCGATTTCTTCATCCAATCCGCCCCTCTTTGATCCGCTTCGATTTCTCGGAATCTCCCAGTTCGTGCGGCCGCTCTCCTCGTAGCAATATACTGCACGTGTTCGTGGTTGGATGCCTAGACGTTGGTGCCAGATTGTTTCTTGGTGATGGGTGGATGCCTGGATGGTGGTGCCAGATCGAATGGCCGTCGGACGGACGGGACCGCTGTCGCACTGTCAGCGAGTGGGCGGGACTAGTCTGTAGTTTAGTCTGATTCATTCACTTTGATTCAATCGCTCGAGTTTATTAGGAGGAGGAGTATTGCAACAACAACAAAAAAAGAGGGTTCTTTGGGCGTCATGGAACGATCTGATAACTGTGCGGGTTTATCAAGAGATTTGTTTTCCTAGGGACGGAATTCTGATTATGTGTGCGTTTGTGTTCTTCAGTCACGAGAATTGATGATCAATTGGGAGCTCCTGATTTTAGCCGGCTTGTTACATTCTAGTGATAAATGTTAACGGTTTATCTTTACTACCCTTTCTCATGCTATCAGTCTAGGTGAATGAGAATGTGTGCAGGCATCATATTATTAGATAACATGAAAGCATATTCAGAATTGCATTCTGTAGAGTTCAAGACTTCAAATGTCAGGAAAATGTGTCGTACTTGTTGGCATCAATCATGTGCAGACAGTCTGACATGCTCATCTGTTGTTTGTCACTGCGTCATGTTATCCTTTACTTAAGGAGCAATGTATATGTATTATTCAGTTTGCTCAAGGCATGGAAATACGGTTTTGCAGAGACTTCAAAGCACCAAATGTAAACCAATAAACAGAAAAATACTTGCTTATTGATTTGATATAGTATTTTTAGTGTTTGCCACTTTGTTTAGGCATATTATAATATACATGTCCTCCATGGATAAAACATGTTGGAAGATTACTCTCAGCCTCAAATTATGTTTTCTCTCAAGACCTCCGCGAAGATTTTGACCCGTCTACTGAATTTTGCTCCTTTTCAGATTCCAGCAAAAGACACTGCATTTTACAATCCAATCTTCTTTGGGAAGCCCTGAAGAACCAAGTTGGACTTGCAAAAGTGGATAGCTGGTCCAATAGGGCTGGCTTTTAGAAGATCAACCACGGCTCCAAGGATAGGATCCCGTACTACACACGAAGGGGAAGACAATGTGCCCAGTGTTTTCCTAAGTTTCTACTTGCATCCCCTTCTTTTCACGGTGGTCGTGGTGCCCTCCCATCTGCAGGGGGCATCCTTCGATTTCCGATTTGACGACCTTGCTGGTGGTGGTGCTGCTGAAGCCTGAATTAGGATTGTTAGTATTGTAGATATTCAGATAGTATTACATAAACTAAGCATCATAACTATGGTGTCGGCCACCAAGGTAGAAGGTGAATATTCGTTTCTGAGCAAGAACTCTCATCTGGATCAATCTGAAGGTGAGCAATAGCTGCTTTCAAATGGTTTTATCTCATTTATTACTAATTTTCCGTTTTCTAGCCTGTTCTTCTCTGTACTAAAATTCTCTATTACATGAGTTGGATCAATTAGTCATGTTAACGAAGTACGTCGGGCTCATTAAGGACATGTACAACAATGTTGTGACTAGAGTTCGAACAAGTGATGGAGACACGGATGACTTCCCGATTCGGATAGGACTACATCAAGTGTCAGCTTTGAGCCCTTATTTGTTTGCTTTAGTGATGGATGAGGTCACAAGGGACATACAAGGGGACATCCCTTGGTGTATACTTTTCGCGGACGATGTAGTGCTAGTTGATGAAAGCCGGACAGAGTGAATCAAAGCTGGAGTTATGGCGGGGGAGACTTTGGAGTCAAAGGTTTTAGACTCAATGAGAACTAAAAGCGAGTATATGAGATGTGACTTGGCACTACTACTCGGGAGGAGAAAGATGTTAGTTTGGAAGGTCAAATAGTGCCTAGGAAGGATATCTTTCGATATCTAGGATCAATGCTACAGAGGGACGGGGACATTGATGAAGATGTTAGCCACAGGATCAAAGCAGGGTGGATGAAGTGGCGGCAAGCGTCGTCGGTGTCCTATGTGTGAAAAAGGGTACCCTGTGAAGCTAAAAGGCAAGTTTTATAGGACGGCGATTAGACCTGCTATGTTGTATGGTGCGAGAATGTTGGCAGCCTCACGAAAATCGACATGTTCAACAGCTAAGTGTCGCGGAAATGCGTATGTTGCGTTGGATTTGCGGTCATACAAGAAGGGATCGAGTTCGGAACGATGATATACGTGATAGATTAGGGGTAGCGCCAATTGAAGAAAAGCTTGTCCAACACCGGTTGAGATGGTTTGGACATGTGCAACGGAGACCCCCAGAGGCACCGGTGCGTAGTGGCATCCTAAGCCAGGATAGTAACGTGAAGAGAGGCAGAGGAAGACCGAAGTTGACTTGGGTAGAGGCAATAAAAGGAGACTTGAAATGATGGAATATACCCAAAGACTTAGCCTTAGATAGGAGTGCTTGGAAGACAGCTATTCACGTGCCTGAACCTTGATTGCTTCTGATGGGTTTCAACTCTAGCCTACCCCAACTTGTTTGGGACTTAAAGGCTTTGTTGTTGTTGTTGTTGTTGTACAGTTTCAGTTCATAATATGTGCCTGGTTGATTCTTGAACAGTTCATAATATGTGACTGGTTGATTCTTGAATAGGTTGGTTTAGATAAAACACTAAAACACCTAGACAGTTGTGTAGAGCCAAATCAGCTATTCTCTCTGGTATTTGCATTTAGAATAACTGTATGTATTCAGTTTTTTTGTGATTCTAGTCTTAAACTCCTCTTTGCATCTTCAGGTGTGAAGATACATCTATATCGATTTGGTGCAGAACACAGAAATGACAAACTTAAAAGCCTTGCATGCTCTGAACAAGATGGCCCAAGTTTGCTTGATACCATCCTTCTTTCTCAGGTTTTGTAATTTCAAGAGTTGCACAATTTTGTGACTTCTCAAAACAATGTTTTAATCCGTGATTTCTTTGCACCAGTGGGATAATTTTGCTTTGAAGGGCCATTTGGACTATGATGTTACTGCTTGCCAACTTAAGGTTATCTATTTTTTTTTCCATTTCTTCCATCTTAAATGTTGTTCGTTTGTTCACATCAGTTTGCAGTATGCAACATTGAGTTGCTTTGTAACATGTGGTGATAGTTAACACTTTCTGCATGTACAACATCTTGCTCACCCCAGCACCCACTCCAGACACAGAATAGCAGTGTTCTTGCCAGTGGCCATATCAATATAGTGCATGGTAGCAGGCCTAATATCTCGGCAACTCTGCCAGACATTCACTCCCCCATATGTTGGAATTATCTTTCTCTTGCTTATGCTTGTAATATCATTGCAGCTTTACAATTGCTCAAATTGCCAGTACTAAACATTACATATGGTGGTGTCTGTTAAGAGAGATTATCCACAATTGTTCACATATTTCTGTAAGTAATAAGGCACATAGATTGGCATCTAAGGACAAAATCTTGACTAGATGGTCTATTTGAGAATCTTCTATTCTAGCAAACCTAGAATTAGCTATGGTTGTAAGCCAGTTGAGTTTGTGGGTGGATAGGATGGGGAAAGGGTGTGTTGGCTGTCAGGAGTTTGCATGAAATTTAAATGGTAATAATATGTTTACCTGTCAAAAAATATGACTGCTCCATCGTACAATATGGTGGCCCTGAGTTTGTTTGGAATCAGCAAATTTGAACTGCTGTACAGGTTATTGGAGGTGGAAGAAATTTTGTGGGTCAGCTGAACAATAAATGGAATCCATTTTCACTGAAGGAATATGACAAGTTCTTGTCTTTCACATGCTTGAAGACAAATAGTATGAAGAGTTATGAGGGATTGCTTCTTGGCATTGCACAAGGAGAAAATGATAGACCTGAGGTTACTCCTTCAGCATCACCACCAAAGGATGGACTACTTGTGATTGCAAATGTATGTTGCAGAGGTGCTATAAAATACAAATATCTGCCTACCCTCCCTTGCTCCATGCTAGTTGGTATCTGCATTTTTCTTGTTCCCTTCTGATGGATATTTTTCTCCCCGAAGGCTTATCCTGTTGAATATGGTCATATCTTCTTGGTCCCAAGTGCAATCAATCAACTATCTTGCTATTGGGACAAAGTGATGATTGGACTGGCTACAAAGATTTCCTCTGAAGTAAATAATGCAGCATTCAGGGTTTTCTTTGACAGCAGAACATCTGTAGTGTCAGGTCACATGATTTTTCAGGTAATGTTTACCTATTTCCAGTGCCTATCCTCCAACTTATTTCATCTATATGTTTAGAGGTAGTTGTTGTCCTATTTGGCAGTATAAACTCATCAGTCATCATTAAATCATCGTTATGCAGTTTATACCACAATGAGTCATTACAGCGTACCTCAATATGTGTCTTCCCTTTGTTGCTTCTATTATTACTATTTTTGTCATGTGTAAAGTTCGCAAGGCAGATTGGGCATATATTTGAGCAATGGTTCTAATATTCTATTATAATAAATTATCTCTGAGTAGACAAGTTTTTTTTTTTTTGAAACTTCTGAGTAGACAAGTTCTCTGTAGTAAGATTTGTTGAGACAGTAGAATCACCTGTTTGGCTTCTTGCAGTGGATGCTTGAGGAGAATCCAATGTCATGTTTTGTCTAATCTTGCAGGCATGTTACTTCGCAATCCCTTTACCAGTGGAGTCTGCCTCCACTTTCATGGTATATGATGGAAATGGAAAGGCCAGATCAGACATTATTGTGTCTGAAACAGTTGACTACCCCCTAAAAGCTCTTGTGTTCACCAGCACCAACCTAAAAGCACTTGTTAGTGTTGTCAGTGAAATATCCGTTTCTCTCCATGACAATGCTACTGCATACAGCCTGCTGATTTCCAACAATGGCACAAAGGTTTTCTTGTTTCCACAGGTAAAATCTATTAAACCTTTCATTCCATTTTTAGATAATTTTATTTCAGCAACCACTGAATGGAAACGCGTGAATATCTAATACTTGGTTTATAAGGTGAAAAATCTGGTTACTGGCTGCTGTCTGTCTGCTTGGGAGTGTGGCGGTTACTTTGTTTACCACACCAAGTTTGGTTTTGATAATGCTTCTGAAACTGAAATCTCCAACAGAATGGGCTCTGTTTCACTCGAGGATAGCACCTTTGAAGATCTGAAACATCTTTGTTGCGCTATTGCAGATGATTTATGTAAGCTCATGCAGAATGTTACTGCATGATAAATGGTGTCTGTGAACCGCTTCATATGTTTTTATAAGTTTAGTTGGTTGTCCATATATAGTGTGGAAACTATGTCTTAACATTCGGATTGATCAATAAAGTTTGCTGTTTTTAACATGGATCAATTGTGAAATTGTGTGTAGCACTTTGCTGACTGCAGGGGACTCAGCAATCTGGATTACTCGCAATGTTTTTTCCAACAGGTTTTGCTTGATTACAGACATTGTTGCAAATGTGCATGCTCTCATCAAACACAGAAAAAGTGTAGATCTGGTCCTCCCATTGCAAATAGTAGTATTCTGAGTTAGAAGACGCTGAAGCACTGCCTGAACAACAGCAGAATAAAAGCAGTATGCATATCTTTGTGGACGAGTCTTTCCTGTCAACAATGCATGTATTTGGTATCAGCAACTTGTGTAAGCATGACCCAAACAACAGTAGGGATATGACAAATTGGACCTTCCAACCACTAAAAAAGCGAAGTTTAAACATCGATTCTACTTACTGCCTATGCTTTAAACCACCACTGTCATGGCGCAATAGTAGTGCACGGAACAATATATCTCACTAGATGGAAATTGAATCAAAAACCACAAGTATTTGGCAAAAGGATTTATTGATCCATTCAAAGATCTGAGTAGCCACAACAGATCACAACCTTGCTCTTATTCATCAGCGAGTCATCATTACAGCTGAAAATGGCAAGTCACCGTTGCAGTTCAGATGACTGTGTTCAGTCGCATTCTTTGGTGCAGAAGCAGAAGGACCTGAAGATGAGGAAGCCACACTTCCCCCTGGTAGCGCCCTCGTTGATGCAGTGCTTGTTGCATGTTTTGCTGCTACACAGGAGCAACATCCGGTATGTATCGCTTAGCCACTCGTCGCACGCCTCCTTATTCCCACAGCCTGCAAAAGAAAGCAAAAATATTAAAATAAAACTTATCATCAAGAGATACAACTTATTAATTTCATTTGCCACCAAGAAAGAATCAGGTAGCTTGCAAGCAATTAATCTTGTTATTTTCTTGAAAACAACTAATCTTGTTCTATAACATTGGCGTGTGAAATCTTTGATGTGCTTAAAATTTAGATCTCTTTGTCTAAGTATGGACTTACTTGGAGCCAAGAGGAGTGTCATGACCAGCAGGCTGAGGCACAATGCTGATGTCACCTTCAGAGCTGCCATATCTAGAAGAAACCTTCTAGGCATCTGCCTAATGTATGAAAACTCTTCTTATAGCCTGAATACCGTGCTTTCCATTTGTCTCCAAGGTATATAGAGAACAAACAAAAGGGAGGGTTGATGATGCAGCTATCCTCAACATGGAATGCATTCCAAAACCTGACAAAATTTCAGTTAGCACCATTTAGTAGGAAGCCTCATGATGCTTGCTCCACGCAGGGAGCTTCAGACGAAGCTGATGTGTTGCGTGGGATAAAGATGGTGCCATGTTCATGTATCATTCCATTCAGTTTCACTTGGCAGACACGAAAAAGTATTGAAAGGCATAGGCACAAGACAAGGGAAACAAAAGACTTACGTGAGGGAGGGAGGCAAGGTTCCTGTTATTCACTTGCAGAAAGCTCAGAGCTGCATGCTGATAATTCCATGGTTGATGATCACTGGATGTACATGAATTGCTGTTGCATTATTATCAAGATGACAAGGTAATTTGATTGGTAAAATCTTGACTCGAAGCATCACTCCTGTATGGGTATGGCAATCAGCCAATCAGTGTTGCATATGCATCTGGAAGATACGACCTCCCTTCAGTTGAGTCAATGAGCATTTCAGTTGACAAGTTGTTGAATTCATAGCCAAAGAAGGCTCCATAGCTGTGGAAGAAACCAAATTGGCAGAAATTCATAAAAAGAGATTATAATTTTTTCTGATCTTTGGCTTACCCCCAAAGCAGCATCGAAAACTGATTTCAATCTCTCCACTTAACATGTGACAGGAGCCCATGGAAACTGCACAGCCATCTCTTCCTCCACCAATCACCAACGCCAAACCCAATTACCCAACTGCCCAACAACGGCTGACAGCAGCATCCAGGAAAACATTTCCACTCTTTCAGCAATATTTAAGAATATACATTCATAATAAAATAGAATCATGTTTATGTAAAATGTTTCACAAGTGTTTAGTTAGTCATTCTTCATCAATTGTTTTACAGTTTTTGTTTGATACTTGAGAAAAATAGTACAGTTTCAAAATTGTGCCTGCTATTTGGAAATTAGTGATCAAAACTGAATATTTTTTTTGGCTGCTCACCTCTGAGACTTGAATAGTCATTGAGATTTGAGCAAAGCTAATAGTTGGCATTGTCTTTCAACAACTGTCATATTATCTTGTGCTTTATTCGATGAGACTGGCATTGTTTTTTGCCGTTCCATTGAAATGAAAAGAAATGGCATATTATTATTTTGGTTAATAATTGGTTCCAATGGAGATTCTCTGCAAAAGAAACAGTAGTATGACAATGTCAGTTTGATCTCTTGTTTCTACCTAATCAAATTGGAATGCATGCAAGTAATGAGGAACACATACAGACATAAGGTCCATTACACTGAATCAGTTAAGCAATTTGACTAGTGCATATAAGAAGAATAGAAATCACCACTTTGCCACTTTGGAGCAACGGATCAGTCCTATGTTTAGAAAAGAAATAATAATAATAGTAGAGTTCAGAACTAATAAATATTAGAGGTAAGAACCAATAAGAAGTTTCAGAGTTAAAAGCAAAGCGATGCATTTTTTTCTACAACAGTACCTCAAGTCCTCAAGTCAACATAGAAATAGTTGAAATAAATCTCAGCTTACAAACTTTACTGCATTATTGGATCGTAGGGGAATGAGTTACAGTGCAAGAAGACAATTGTGCATGAGCATGTAAATAGTTGTATAAGACTACAGAGGTGATTTTACAGGCACTTACCGGTTTGATGTACACAATGAAAGGTATGTGCAGAGGTATTCATGCTTTTGAATTCAGAATTGTTAATGGATAAAGAGAGAATCCAAAGAATATAATGATGTACAATTTGAAGAAGTGCCCTGCACAATAATGAAAGCGCGGGTTGCCCAAAAGAAAACATCAGTTGTGGCCAAATAAACGAAACAAGATCTACGGAGGTTTAGGGGGTTATGGAGAAGCAAGGGAAATTGATAGGTAGGAAGTTCCACCTCTTTGTTGCCTTGGGCTTGTCATGCTTTGACTATTGGGATGAATTTATCAACTTGCGGCACTGCCTCCTTAGCTCGCTTCTGCTACCACGGACATATAATTCTCGCAGCGAACTTGGAAGGTCATCCACCCCAGGGAGCGATCGTATGTCTGGGCATCTATCGATCACTAAATTTTGCAGTGAATCTGGGAGGCAATCCTTTGGCAGTGACTGGATTTTTGGACAACTGATGATCTTCAACTCTTGCAGCGAACTTGGGAGGCCATCCTTGGGCAGCATCTGGATTGCTTCGCACGACCAGATGTGTAACCTCTTGAGGTTGGGAAGTCTAGGTAGCCGTTCAGGGAGGGACTGCAGGTTGCGGCAGACACAAATGGTGATATCCTCGAGGGAGTCAACAAACAGAAGGGCCTCTTGCTCCTTTGTGAAGCTCTTCATCTTATTATCCTTAGAAATTTTCAATTTGTTGAGCGAGGAAAAGAGCAGGCTACGGCGAATGGGCGCAGCAGTGAATCCAGCCACATCATCTATTTCGAGCTCCTGCAGTTTGGAGGAACAGGATGGAATCTCTTGTTCATGCACCCATGAGAGCTCAGAATCAACAAAAAAGTTGGGCGTTTCTCTGATGTGTAATTTGGTGAGATGGCCTTGGGCGAGGAGAGACAACAATCCCTCGCCTCTTGAATCCCCGCAGTCAATAATAGATAAATTTGTGAGACAGGTGAGGTTTGATATTGGCACCAGCGTATCCATGCCCACTGCTCTATAAATACCAAGGTGTTCCAGGGAGTTGGGAAGGGGAAAGAAGAAGAGGAAGAAAACCAGTAGGACAGTAGCCTGGGACAATACAAGATTTCCAACCATCGAAGGCAACGGGTCATTTCCAGCCATGAGAGGGAGGTTAGACCTTGGAGCCCTCCTCCTCGCCCAGTTAGTTGACAGCTCCTGTACTTGGAGCTCAGCTCTGGGCAGCCGAAGATTGACAGCTCCTGTAGTTGCGGAGGCAAAAGCAACATACTGCTTTCTGCTTCTTCTGATGCGACTATTACATCCTCCTTTGCTCTTGCATCCTGCTGCTGCTCCACTTTGTTAGCTGAAGATGATGGTCCGGGTGTTTCTGTTGCTTGCTGCCCCCTCAAATTCACACCCAGCCCTGTTACATTCACACAAAACAACAACCGCAGATATGAGAGCTTCGGGAAGTAGGTGAGTAGCTGTGTTAACTCCTTTCCACTAGCACAACAATTTTTGATGGCCAATGATTCAACTGGAAACTGGTATTTGACATGGCTGTCGGCTTCGACAAATGGAAAAGTATAACTCGAACAAGACATATCTAGGGTCCTTAGGGATGATAGCATTTGTAAGGAATGCAGCGGCAGGAATTCGTAGCTGTGCAGACTCAACACCTTCAGTCCAGTTAGATTATGAAAAGCCAGCACATTCCAAAACGTGCTATTAGTTGTATCCTTCTTTCCCACAATGGTCAAACTACATTCATAACCGTTTTCTCTTTCACAGACCAATTTAACATCACATGAACTTCCAGTTCCTACTAAATTAACAGAACAGGGAGCTTCATTCCAAGGAACGGGAGGAAATGACGATAGTTGTGGACAGTTTGTAATCTTGAGCTCCGAGAGTCTAGGAAATAAATTTGCATTTACCTCTTTGCCTTGTTGATAGCAACAGAAATGTTGAAATGACAACTCCACAAGTTGAGGGCAATCCTTAATGATAAGCACTTCCAAGAAAGGAAACAACTGACAAGGGGCATGCACAACCCACTTTTCAACCATGGTGAGTTTACATAGTTCTAATCTTCTCAAATTTTCAAACCTTTTATTTGGTATATTACCTGAAATATTTTCCTTACGAGGAAAATCAACTAGCCACAGCTCTCCTATAGGCGGAAATTTTTTCCAAGCTACACCATCTAGACATAGAGATTCCAGATTTTCAACGGACAGGTTAGTACCAGGCCACAAAGGGCAAGTGGTTCCCCTATGACCTTTAACTGATAACTTTAGAAGATTGCTACTTGGCCTAAGCCTTTCAAGAATGTGTTCTTGTAGTGTGGAGTCATTGGTAGATCGGTCAATATTATCCCAATGTAATGTCAACTCATGTAGGCGCTTTTTTGTAACAATTTTGCTTCATCGGGCTTTTTCTTTACTTCAACATTTTCGAGGTTATCAATGCACAATGTTCCACAAAGCTCAACCAAATGTCCAATCTGCCTTAATTCAAAGCCTTGATCCTCTTGTTTGACCATAAATCTTCTTAACCCTTGTAGTGATTTTAATTTCCCAACCTCAACAATGCTAGTGTGTTGAATCACACCGAACAAGAAAATGACCTTAATTTTACAAGGTTGCTCATATCTCTTGGTAAATCACGGACATAAGTAGAATGTTTTGCATCTAGGACCATCATATGATAGAATCTGGAAAGTTTGTTGGGAAATCTTGTTTGATTTAGGACAGAACCTACAATCCGAAGGTAGCGAAGGTGGACAAGATGGTAAAAGTTGTGCAACAAATCTTCCACATTATAGGATGTTTTAGATAAAAAAATAACACTAAGGTCCTTTGCTTCCTTGAGTAAAACACCAATGGTCTTCACGAAGCAACCATGGTGTTCCCCAAATAACATTAAAGTTCGTATTTTTCAACTTTTAATGTTTTAACCAATGTATTGAAACCCTCCACACAATTTTTGAGAATCAATCTGTCCTTGACACTGGCATCCTCAATGTTGATAGACAAGTGGCGTATTGATGGCAGTACTTGTAAGGACCTCACATGGAATTGAGAACTATCTATGGCAATACATTCATGTGACGAAAGCTTACGGACTAATTCATGTAAGAGATCATGAATATTGTAACAAGTGCTTCCATCTTTTTTCCTGTTTCCTTTCCAAAAATCCATAATCAACCAACTCAGTTAGATGACTCCGCCCAATGTCTTCAACGGTTTTATTTTCACCACATGATGAATGCACAACTTCTTGTCCTATCCAAAAGTTAATTAGGTCTTCTTCTCTGAATTTGTAATCTTGAGGAAATAAAGCACAGTTAGAAAAGCATTGCTTGAGCTGATGAGAAGGTAGGTAATCAAAGCTCAACTTCAGTGCAGGCATAATGTCGTTCTTGCCGTTACTATGCTCCCATTCCTTACTTTCTAGAACTCTTTTCCAATGACCCAAGTCAAGTTGGGTTTTCAATAATCTACCGACAGTTTTTGCTGTAAGAGGGAAGCCCTTTAGTTTGTCAACTATCTTAAACCCAGTTTCAAGTAAGAACTCATGGTCCTTTCTAGATTGATCATCATGACCAAAGATAATTTTCAGGAATAATTCCTCAAAGTCTTTATTTTCTAATCCTTGCAAAAATATTGACTGATCATTTTTTTTTGAACCATTATTTGTGCTTGGGCTGGAAACCTTGTGGTGACTATGATTATATTACCATGTACTTGTGATTTTTGGAAGGGCACCAAGAGCTGTTTCCATTCATCCTCATCGCTGCAGTCCCATATATCATCTAATACAAGCAAAAGCCTCTTATTTTTCAATCTTTGCCCAAATAACTCACCAGTAGTACAATTACTACTTTCACCATCAACTTTAGGGATATATATTTGAATTTCTTCTATCAGCTTATTCACATTAAAGTCGAGGGATACACATGTCCAAACTCTAACATCGAAATGGTCTTGCACTTCTGGACTGTGATGTATATGTTGTGCAAGAGTTGTCTTTTCTATATACCCCCTGGACCAACAATTGGTATAACCGTGAGGACCTCAGCAGATGTTGTTCATCATAAGGTCCCTCCCATACAATTTTGGCTCTATACTTTGAGAGGTGGTGACAGGACGACTCTGCAATATTTGGGACAGTGCTCCAATTCGAACCTAGTGTTGCAATAATGCCAGAAACATCTTCACGCAAGGGCCGCAGTTTCTTTACAATATCCTGCATTCTTTTGGAGGCATCCACCCTATCAAATATCAACTTGGGTGGTTCATTATCGGTATGGTCTCTCTGTGGTGAATTGTGCATGCTAATGCCATGGTTGTCATCATAATCAGGATCAGATGGCAGAGATGAGCTATGGAAGCATTTACCAACAGCGTGGATGGGGTTGCAGCAAGATCTGGAAGTGTGCTTTGCCTTAGCCTTGGATCCCGAAGTAGTAGCAGATGAAAAGCATGTGGGCAACCAAATCTGTTTGCCAACAGCTTTTAGATTAAGGGCCAGGTTATGAGTGGCACCCTTGGCATGCTTGTCGGCAGCATGGAAGGTGCCGTCGAACTCGTCCTGGATGCGGAAGTAGTCGAGCTCGTCCAGCACATCGTCGGCGTCGTACCCAAGCTCCTTCAGCTCCTCCAGAAGGTCCTTGAGCGCCGAGTTGTCCATTTCCCTGCCGACGGTAGGCGCAAGCAGTGCCTTCACGAGTTTTAGCTCTCGCTCAAGGGCCTCCACGTTGTCACCGAGCTCCACGGTGGCTGCCCAGTTCCTGAGCAAGCCATCCGTTAGAGGAGCCAACGCCTTGCCCACCACTGAAAACGCTGCGCTGACCAAGGCTGTCGCCATGCTCAGTACGGGCACAACGGGATCAGAAGATCTCTCGAGTTTGATGGTTCTGCCTGCGTTCAGGGAGATGAAATGAAACCACCATTAGTGAGTGCCACTAATAAGCAATACTGATGCTTTGTGCTGCTGCCAGAGCTAGATGAGAAAAGCTGTGTACAAGTTTACTCACCACTGGATCTGATATATATGAAGGCCGAAGTTGATTGGAGAACACAACTGGTGTTAGCTCTAGCCCAAATGTCCCATGATCCTCGCTGTCCGCAACCGCAAGCAAGGAAAGAACCACAAGCCGAGAGGGCTGTGACTCCTGTGAGTGTTTGAGTAGTACCACACTACCACGAAGATCTCTTGTTTTGATGGGTCTCTGCGTGAAGCGAGTAAAAAAAATGTCATCAGAAAATGCCACTTGCCTACTTTGGTGAGCATTACTGATGCAGTTGATGTGTACAAGTTCACTCATCAAGTAGAGAAATGAGCAGGATCTGATCTGAATCTGAACGCCCAAGTTGTTTCCATGTCTGCTTGATGCATGCTTCTGCGTGCAGTACTACGGCACCACTGGATCAGAAGATCTCTTGTGTTTGATTCTTCTGCGTTCAGGGAGAGATGAAACCACAATCACACAGAGTCCCACTAACATGCAATACTGATGCTACTGATGCAGCTAGAGCCAGAGGAGAATACTATCTAGTACAAGTTTACTCACCAAGCAGAGGAAGGAGCAGCATTTGATCTGATCGATGCCCCACAAGTTGTTTTGAGGACACAATCGGCGCTAACTCCAGCGGCTAGCCCAAAGGTTCCATTCCATGCTGCTTAGTGTCTGCAAGCAGGCAAGGAACCGCAAGGCGTGAAGGTGCCAACGCAAACCAGGGGAACTCCGGTCTCAGAGGGAGATGGCAGTGGAGGCAAGGTGGTGGATCGGACGGAGGAGCTGATGAGCAATAAGCCAATAATAATGCACCATGGCAAACAAGCAGGCACATCACACTGCGTCAACGGGCGTCAACTGCAGGACGACGTACAATCACCATGTGACATCGACAGAGTTGCCGGTTGTTCACGGGCTCTCCTGTACCTCTTTGTACGCTTTTGCTAAAATTTAGTTTACACTGATATTTATGTTTGAAACGTTGGGACAAAAAAATATCGTTAGTATCTCAAGCCAACATGGCCAATGGCCATGAAAATTGGTGAGGAAATTTTTGTTACTGTGGAAACGATGTGGTTAAAGGTAAAACGTACGCCTCAGAATTATTGCCTGACCCTAGCCTGATGCCAATTACTATGTTCATACATGCCTGTTCATGGCCGGACTCTAGGACTCTGTTCGTTTGAGCTTATTCGCCAGAATTAATCCTACTTTTTAGCTATAGAATAATATTTTTCTCTCACAACAAATCAGTCCTACCAATAAAAACGGTAAATTCCGCCGAACAGCCTGCTAGTGTATGCCTGTAGGCGTAAGCCGTATAGAAAGAGCCATGTAGCATTTATAGAAGAGTCAGTTGCTAGTAGAACCACTCTTAGGAGTCATGGATTTTTTTCATAGAACAAATCTGCAAAAACGACCACAATAATTTTGAGAAAAAAATATGTTGTATTGCCCTGTTCGTTCCGTGATAAGCCATGACTGAAAGTACTGTTGGCTGATTTGTTGTGAGAGAAAAATTCCGTTCGTTGGCTGAAAAAGTACGACTTATAAGCCAAACGAACAGGGCGTGTGTATTATAGCCAGGCATCCTAAAGAAGTTCGACTTCCAATAACCGAGAAATAGGCCCCGTTCGGCTTGCTGAAACTTAACTGAATTGACTGAAAAACACTCTTCTGGCTGAATTGTTGTGAAAGAAAAATATTGTTCCGGCTGAAAAAACAAGCTGAATAGTGCGGATTATAAGGTAAGCCAAACGGGGCCGTAAAGAAGAAAACAAAAGCACTGAATCAACATGAACTTGTGTCTCAAATCAAATTAAAAAGGAGGCAATATTTCTCTCCACATTCTGGGATTTACGTGGGAATTTTCTTAGTGAAGTCTCATTGCCGTCTACAATGTGTGGCTAAACAATATAACTAAAATGTACAGTTGTTAAGTACAGAGCGAGGGCAGAGAAACAAATCATGCAAAACACATATATAATAGTAAGGGTGTACTTATTAGCGATCTAGATTCTATTAGAAATGTTTCATTGTCTTTAAAATACTTTTGAACAAGCTCGCTAGATTCTTGATATTAGAACTACAATTAGGAGACCAGGTTTTGGATGTTTCTCTATACTAGTACAAAAAAATGAGAATAGGTTCCAAGTGATTCTTAAACGTTTCTTCCTTCATGCTGTCAGGCAGTGATTTTGATGATTCTACTAAGAATCTAAAATATTTCTCGCTGCCAAACACACACCATGAATCGATTCCAGCCATTTCTGCCTCAAAACTAATCGGCAAGGTGGTGTTCAGCACTGGTCATGACGTGTTTCACGTCAGAAACAGAAACGATTCTCACGTCCAAACGCGCCCCTATGTAACAGTAAGGCCACAAAACACGTATTCTCCGAACCCAGCCAACCTGTCGCAAACTGTTGCGCTAGTCGAAAACTCAAAGGTCTTCAGTAATCAGTACCACCGGAAGATATATATATATATATATATATATATATATATATATATATATATATATATATATATATATATATATATAAGCTCTTAATTACCCTCTTACCCACCAAGAAGAGGAAGGAGCACAGGATTTGATTTGATTCGATCCCCCAAGTTGTTATTATGAGAATGAGAACACCACCCTGTGCTGCTGCCTGAAAGAAAGAAAGAAAGGAACTGATACTACTGTGGCGCCAGTTGTTGAATTGAAGATATGGCGGTCTGTTCGCTTGGTCGTAAATGATCATAAATTTTTAGTTAGAATAATATTTTTTTTATATCAAACCCGCTAATAGTAATAATCCACGATCATATACGATCGTTTCAGCTCCGGCCGAACTGGATGCTCGGTGAGTGGTGACTAACTGACTTGAAAACTCAAAGATCTTCAGCAGCAGCAGCACCGGATCGGAAGATGTGCGACTCTGACGCGTCTGCTAGCTGCTGCTGCGTGCGTTTGCGTTTGCATTGCATTGTGCAGAGAAAACCACCATAAAGCAGCTTGCCCACCAAGAAGACAAACAAGCAAGGTCCGGTTTAGTTTGCAAAAAAAATTTGCAAAATTTTTCATATTTTCCGTCACATCGAATCTTTAGACGCATGCATGAAGCATTAAATATAAATAAAAAATAAAACTAATTACACAGTTTAGACGAAATCCACGAGACGAATCTTTTAAGCCTAATTAGACTATGATTGGACAATATTTGCCAAATAACAACGAAAACACTACAGTTCTCATTTTGCAAAATTTTTTGCATCTAAACAGACCCAAGAAAGGAACCGCAAGCCGGAGTGCCGTAGAGAGGTCGCCGGCGGCAGATCGGAGACGATGGAGGAGAACAAGAAGAACTGAAATGGAGGGAGGATCTAGTGGTGTGGTGGCGACTGGTGACTGGCGAGGTGGTCGACGAGCTGAGCAGTGGGATGCCAGGCAACCGGCAAGCAGGCAGCTGCATTTTACCATAGCGTGCGGGCACATACAGGACGGTCACCACGTGGGATCGACAGAGTAGCCGGCCTCTTTGCAGACGGTGACAGAGTGCCAGTGGCCACGGAAATTCTAGGAAATTATGCTATAGCGAAATATGATAAGAACCGTTCATACCAGAAGTTCAACCTTTTTGTTCGTTCAAAAAATGACGGTCGATTTTGGCTAGTTAAATTTATCAGGCTTTTTTTTTCTCTCCAAATCACTTAGATAAGCCGTGCACATCTACCCTATGAGCATATCTGAAAAAACATATAACTTGTAGATCTCAATATTTATGAAGTCAAAGTAGACGCTCGGCCACTAAAAATACAACACCATTTAAATCTTAATGTTTGACTTAAAATAATAACATACTAATGTCTACGTGATCAGTTAGGCCATGTTCGCAGCAGCATTTTTTAGCGAACGAACAATATTTTTCTCTCACAACAAATCAGCATAAGACAAATTTCAGCGAAGTAAATAGTGTTTCATTAACTTTACCATAAAATGTTTTGGTGGTGGGTTTGTTCAATTTTGTAGATGTTAATATACTTCCTCCGTCCCAAAATACTGGTCGTTTTAAGATTCAACTTGTCGGGGACCTAATACCGAGGTATCCCAGAAGGTGGAACCAATCACTACCGAACGATAAAAACTTCTGGACGGATAAGGGCGCCGTAGCGTTCCTTGCTCGAACGACAGGAGTTTGGTTCCACCTCGCCCGACGCCTTTGGGGTAGCTCTGCCTCGCCCGAGGGATCAAGGCTAGTCTCCGTCTCGCCCGACGCCTTTGGGGCGGGCACGGTCTCACCCGAGGGCTCAGGACTAGACTCCGCCTCGCCCGACCCCGGAGGGGCGGGGTCGGTCTCGCCCAAGAGATAGGGATTGGTCTCCGTTTCACTCGACGGCCAAGAACGAGCCTCGCCTTGCTCGATATCTAAAGACTGGTTTCATCTTACCTGACAACTCTGTAAGGTCGAGATGGCGGACTAGAGGGGGGGTGAATAGTCTTTTGTAAAATTAATCTCGTCGGCTAACCGAAACAAATGCGGAAATACAACTATCGGTCTAGCCAAGACTACACCCCTCAATATATGTTCTATAGCACCTTGCAAAGATAATAAAGCAACTATGGTGCCGGGCTAACTAGAGCTCTCCTAAACAATTCTAGGAGCAAGGTCACACAAACCTATGCCACTAGTACTTTAAGTAACAAGGGAGCTCCTACACATGCTAGTAAGCAAAAGCACAAAGCTAACTAAGCTCACTAGCAATGCTCAATAACAAGGCAACCAATGCCTAATTAGAGAGCGCAAATACTTAGCTACACAAACTAAGCAATGTGACTAACAAGGTTACTAAATCTAAATTA